AGCGCGCCATAGCCATGGTGCTAGCAATCTCACCCGCCGGTCTCCAAAGGATCCATTAATAAAAGCCCAATAATCTGTGTCTCTTGCTGAACGCACCTCGCCGTAGCCATGGTGCTAGCAATCTCGCCGAGCCTACCTCCCTGTAACATCGACGCTGGTCTCCAAAAGATCCATAGCTTTCTCCTCATCCACCTGAAAGAATGTACGGGCATGACCCAGCTCAAGCAGATACACGCTCAAGCACTCCGCTCCACGTCTCCTCACCATCCAAGCACCCTCCTTGTATTCAGTCGGATTCTCCAATTCTCTTCTTTAACTGACTTAGATTACGCGTATCGGGTTTTCGATCAAATTGAGAACCCCAATTCCTTCATATGGAATACCTTAATCCGAGCTTGTGCGACTAAGGTCGTTACAAAGGACCAGGCGATTATACTTTACCGGAAAATGCTGGAGCAAGGACTTGTTGCCCCAGACAAGCATACCTTTCCGTTTGTTCTGAAGGGTTGTGCTTACTTGTTTGCTTTGGCTGAAGGGAAACAAGTGCACGCCCATGCTTTGAAACTTGGGTTTGGTTCGGATGTTTATGTAAATAATAGTTTGATTCATTTGTATGGTAGTTGTGGGTGCCTGGACTTAGCTGAGCAGGTGTTTGATAAAATGCCTGAGAGAAGCTTGGTTTCGTGGAATGTTCTGGTGGAGGCTTTTGTTCAGTTTGGTGAGTTTAATAGGGCGTTGAAATTGTTCAACGAGATGCAGGATTCGTTTGATCCTGATGGGTATACTTTGCAAAGTATTATAAGTGCTTGTGCTGGTCTTGGTGCTTTGTCTTTGGGCATGTGGGCTCACGCTTATCTGTTGAGAAAGGGTGATGTCGATGCATCCACTGATGTTTTGGTGAAGAATTCGTTAGTGGATATGTATTGCAAATGTGGTTCTTTGGAGTTAGCTCAGCAGGTCTTTGAGAGGATGACAGAACGTGATGTAACTTCATGGAATTATATGATTCTAGGATTTGCAATGCATGGGAAGGCTGAGGAAGCGTTAGAATATTTTGCTCAATTGGTCAGGACAGAGAGTTTCAAGCCCAATTCGATCACATTTGTTGGTGTTTTGAGTGCATGCAAGCACAGAGGCATGGTTACTGAAGGACGCAAGTATTTTGAGATGATGATTAATGAGTACAAGATTAAACCTGTAGTAGAACACTATGGATGCATGGTTGATCTCCTTGCTCGTGCTGGGTTTATAGAAGAAGCTCTTGATCTTATATCAAAGATGCCCATGAGACCTGATGCCGTTATCTGGAGGAGTCTTCTTGATGCTTGCAGCAAGACAAAAGCAAGCATACAGCTGAGTGAAGAGGTAGCCAGGCAGATCTTTGAATCAGAATTCAACATTGGCAGTGGTGTCTATGTGCTTTTATCAAGAATCTACGCCGCAGCTAATAGGTGGGATGACGTTGGATTGGTAAGGAAATTGATGTCCGATAAAGGCATAGCAAAAGAGCCTGGCTGTAGCTCAATAGAGATAGATGGCATTGCTCATGAGCTTTTTGCAGGAGACACATCTCATCCTCAAACTCAACAAATATATAAGATGTTAGATGTAATTGATGAAAAATTGGGTTCCTTTGGGTATTCACCTGATCATTCTCAAGCTCACATGGTTGATGAGCACGATGACAAGAGCAGAGAACATTGTTTGAGGCTGCATAGCGAGCGACTTGCTATTGCTCTGGGGCTCTTGAGGTTGCAACCAAGCATGCCAATTCGAGTTTTCAAGAATCTTCGGGTATGTAACGACTGCCATGAGGTAACTAAACTAATCTCAAAAATTTTTTGTGTTGAGATTATTGTAAGAGATCGTACTAGATTCCACCACTTTAAGGATGGTTCTTGCTCATGCATGGATTACTGGTGATTACTGTTCTAAGTTGTATATGAAATGATATAGGATTGATGCATATTATGTATGTCTTTTTCCACTTTGAAATAATTAGTTACACTTGTATATTTTTTCTCTTACAAGATCGGTCTAAATCGATTTATTTTTAATTTTCTGAGATTTGAGGTAAGGTCCATGCTCTCCCTTTACATAGAGTTTCATCACTAATTTAAAATATCAAAACTTTTTGTAAAATTCTTCAAATACTTTAAGTATAATAGATGGTGTGATTCATGTCCCTTCCAATACATCATTCTAGATCGCATCAGATAGTAATTTCATTCATGAATCATGCAGTAAATTTATAACAAAATTATATGCATTAGACAACCAGGGAACAAAATACACATATCAAACCCCACATCATCTTGAAAAAGAAAGGCTTGCAGCAATTTTTTATACCAAAAAACCAATCAATGAAGCTATTTAGGTAGAAAAACCTTTTTATATGCTATGCCACGACTATATATCCTCTCCAACAGCAATAAACCTTCTACTTTTATTGCTTCTCTCCATTAGACCGTACTCAACTTCTTGCTGTATGAACACACTGGTTTGGAACTTGGAAAGATATCTCATCATCCTTGACCATGATTGCCCTTCAGCTAGTATAAGAAGAGGCATGACTTAGGATGTACAGAGCATGTAGTATGAATAAAACCATGACATGCCATAGATGTTGCTCATGACAATGTACTCCCTTGTTTTGCAAAATCTTTCGCCGCTGAAACATTGTAAGAAAAGAATGCAAACGATAAGTCACAGAGAAATAATAAGAAAGCACATAACATGACACATACATGGACAATTTAAAAAGGTAATTGTACTAGGAAGAACGCATTGCTAAGTAGATCACAATTTCTGACATGATAAGCATTTTTAGAATCACAAAATTTCCGAAACTATCTAACTGGAAGTCTCACCTGTTGATGACGATGGAACTACAATAACATGCATATCGGCATTGTTGGGGGGAAGTTGCAGCCGAAGAGGATAGAGATTTCCGTTCAAAGGACTGCGAGTACACACTACAATCTCGTCGAGACCAGTGTCTTCCCTTAATTTCTGAGTCAATTCCTCAACTCCACTCCCCTTGAAACTCAAAGCATACCCCTCTGTTGAACCGTCATCCACCTCTCCAGCCTCATCGGCGATATGGTAGTATATTGTTCTGCCCTCTGATTTTGGGGGCGAACCAGTATGAGAATCAGTAGACTGCAAATCAAAGAGCATTCATTTCAGACAACAGAAAATATAGAACGAATTGAAGTAGTTCGAAGGATTGGTTCAGATTGAAGACCTCTTGTCTTGAAAAGGGTTCGGATTTGGCTGAAACAGGGGACGGCGAACACGATGCAAAATCCAATGAATCCGAATGATCAATTGGTGGAGCTGACGGTTCATGGCTGCTCGCCGTAGGCCGCAATTGAATCTCTATAACATCCACATCCCACAAGACCCAATCCTGCGTAGCAGTCCGCTGCGGGATATCATGCGTTACAGAGTTCCTCCATGGCGGCACCCCGCCGTTAGCCCTCAGGAAATTGCCATACCGGGTCTTGAGCTTAACCTTAGACCCATCTCTGACAGGCTCCCACTCGAGCGACGAGTCGAGTCGATGGGGCAGTGTCTGCAACACTTTCCGGCCAGTCATCCCGAGCAAGAAGGGTTGGTTGGAGGCGGTGAGGTACTTGCCGTAACAACTCTTGAGGCGGATTATGGACTGGGATCCAGACACGAACTCGACGGTCCATCGGGCGTTCTTGGAGGATCCGTTGCGGTCTTGGGTGACGGATTCCTCGTCCTCGTCAGCCAGAAGGTACTTGCTGTGGTGGCTACGGAGCCGCACCACCTTGGCGTTGTGGAAGAAATCCATCCCGGAACGGATATGATCGAATTGTATCTGAAATGCAAAAAAACGAAAGGAATAGAGGAAGGCCTCTGTTATTATCGGATATGAAATCCTCTTTCTTTCAGATGGAGGAAAGTGAGAGGAAAAATGTAGAATTTATTGAAAATATTAATGAAGGGAAAGTGATGGATCCATAGTGGGGTGCGAGTCGGCGCCAGCCGGCAGCCACGGTGGAGGACACGGCACCGGAAACACGGTATTAATCACGTGGTGGTGATTTAGAAAGCCGTGAGCGGGAGAGAGAGGAATTTGGATCAGAGAGACGGAGATTCTTAGAAAAGGGGGCTCAAAACGTCAAAGGATGAAGGTATTACTTGTTTGACTATGATCTAGTCCAAAATTTCCGATGTTGACTTTTTCTCTTTTCTTTTTACAGAGGAATAGTTACAGTATGTTGACAGAATTAGTAAGTTTATCCGATTACCTCTCCCCGGGGGCATTTAATTTATTGGTTAATTTTTTTAATAATATAATATAGTTTGCATTGTAGAATATTTTTTTAATTTAAAGTAAATTTTATAGGCAGATTTTTAAGCCTAATGGTAGTAGATTATAAGTCTAATATTTATTCTAGTAGCTTAGTATAATTTTATATTTGGGTTGAAGAAAATAGAGAGAAGAAAAAGAGAGGGGGAGGAGAATTACATCTTTTCATTTTTCTCTATTCTACTCCCTTTTTTTTTCTTATTTAGATAAATAATTAAATTAAAAAAAATTTAAATAAAGATAATTTTTTATCTCTCCCCTTTCCCTTTGATTTTTTGATAACTAAATGAAATTTTTTTTGAACTGCAAATTGAACTAATCAAAATAATAAGAATATGAGTTTTATGTTTTAAAATCCGAACTACGTTCGATTGTAAAATAAGAATCATTAAATAAAGAAAAAATCATCAATACCAGGGGACTCACATCTCATTCAATGATTAAAGTTGTGTAGGTTAGGACAATCCATATTATATAACACTTTTTTAAGGAATATTTAGATTATGAATAATAATAACAATAATAATTAGAGATTGAATATAAGATTATTCACCATCTAAACACCTCCCTCCCTATGTATTTTCATTTTAGTCTAAAAGTCAATTTTTTTCCTAAACTAGTTTAGTAACCTCAAAAAATGTATCAAGATGGTCCATCTATAAAGGTTTTTTTAAGTTTTTCTAACAAAACTCCGCATCAAGTACTATTTGACACTTCATCTTTTCACAAAAAAAAAAAAAAAAAAAAAAAA